CCCCCCCCCCCCCCAGGTGTTAAGAAACACTCATAACAAATGTGGAGAGTTTTAAAAATAAATTGTCTACGACATTTCCGAATCAGTTTAGAATTTCTTAAGTGTAATAGCACTTGTATTATTGTACTCGGAGTGGCGTTCTTTATGCCAGACACTGCTTAGCGTTATTTGATTAATCTATTTATTATCATTAACATTTTCACACGCTCATATGCAAAACGGATAAAAAAATTCTGTGAACGTCTTAATGACCGAATAAGTATTTCGTCATTAATCCCATTCAAGTATTTGGAAACTTTTCTGGAAGTCAATCTAACCTTTGCTGTGACGTCATTGGACGGACGTTTCGATTGTCTCAGCCTGTAAAAGTTTCACATTCACACTGGCCACCACTTCTCTTCCTGGATGTAATAGCAAGTCATTTTGATTATTACGGGAAATTCTAGGCTTAAAAGTGTACACAAACAAACAGGGAGGGAGTGTCTGAAGACAATTCCGATTTATAGAAGCCGGAGGGGGGGGGTTAAAATGAAAATGAACACAAAATTTGTGATATAAACACGTGAATTTGCCGGACACAACTGAGAGTCTGAAGAAAAATACTTCTTTCATGACGTTCTTTTGCGTTCTGGCTCCGTGTGGACTGGCCGGTAGATGCCAACGTTTCGGAGAAGCGTACTGTCTCCATCTTCAGGGCTGAAGTAAATAAAATGCTCAGAATCAAGAGGAACTGTATAATGTGGCAGGAAGGTAAATCTCAAATGTATTTCTAACCGTCAGATAAATGACGGGAGGACTGAGAACCGTCGAAAGTCATTCTTTTGGTGTTTAAAATCTAAATACAGATATGATGCCCACTGTTCCATCTCACACAGTACTTACTGATGCGTCTGGTATCACATGCATGTGACTGTGATAAGTTTTCCTTTCCGTTTGTACCCCGTGTAACTTTCTTCAGTCTGTGGATGTTCGAAGACCTCGGTACGTGACGACGAAATGCGGTAGTGTTCTTAGACACAAACCTTCCATTCAGAACCTAACCTCAACATTCCCTTCTTCTGTAACTCAAACGTCCTCCTCTGTACTTACCTCTGTGCCATAACTTTTGGCCCGATTAACATCAGACAAAGGCGATGTTGGGGTCTTCCTAACGACTTGCTTTAGTGAAACAAAGCGTAGTTGATTACGCTTTGTCCACATATTTCAAATGTTAATTACTAACCTAGGAAAATGTGTGTGGGGGGGGGACCGCGTCACCTAAGGTAATTCCGCCACCCTAATTATCTTTCAAACGATTTTAATTGAGCGCGCTGTGTTCACACTGACATCTCTGGTGACGAAATGCAAACAGTCTCGAACTGTCATGGCGGTCCAGGTTTTCGTCGTGTCTTTGTGGCGAAGAAAAATCTCATTTTAGGCACGACTCTTCTAAGTTTTAAAGTTAACAGAGTGCACAGGAAGCGCAACTTTGTGTTTTTATTTCTTAAAACAGACGATGACATTTGAAATTACAAATACGTGTGTCTGTTGTTATGAATCTGTAATCTTGTATTATACTGGGTTCAGGCGGGGATAAATAATGTATTTTGTCAGCCAGTTCTGAAGTAATGACACACTTAATGGTGCTGCAGGCAGTATGAGGGCTTATGATCTGTTAAGCAGATTCTGTAGTTGATTTTATGAGTTACCCACTCTTAACAAAAAAAACCTCCACGGTCATCCCTTCTTCATCTACGCCACCCGCTACACGTAAATTGACTTCCTTTTCAGGAAAATTACTCCGCTAGATGCCTCTGCACACTAACCTAACCTTGTCTACAAAACCAATCTTATTTACAAGCCCTGCGTAAATTCTAGCTCAAAATTACTTATAATTACAGACCATAAAACTGACCGGAAGATTGCATGTAATAACTTTACAATCATTACATCGTAAACTTTGTAAGTTACGTTCTTTACAGCGTATTACGGAAACTTGCATTCCAAACAGAATAACACACGAGCCTCTTCTAACACAATCACTTCATGCATATTTGCGGGATGGCATTAAAACTGTCCGCTCAAAATTTGACAACTTCGAAGCGAGAGACCTCATCTAGCATTTCTTTGTTCTCATAGACCAACTACAAAGTGGCAGAGCGGATTCCTGTTAAGTACGGCACTTACTAAAACTTGTTCAGCTACTTCGGAATCGGTTAAAATTGGACAGCGGTGACAGAGACGCATTACACGAAGAGGAACTCCCGCGTGGGGAATCCCTCGCTAGGAAATTTATGCCAGCTAGGTCATATTTGTTACATTTATAGTTCAAAATGGTTCCAAAGTACCAGTGTGAGCTAATCTTGAGTAAAACCAAGTTTCATTTCTTCCCCTATTCTCTCTGCCCCATTCGCCCGAACTGACTGGTGTTACTGAACGTTCTGTGATCCTTAACGTTCGCGTTTGCAGATCAACACAGCAGTCCTTGTTCTGGCTCTGCGAGAGGCCGTGTCTGCAGGACTGAGCCAAGGAAAATCGAAAACCGAGACAGTGTGGTGAGTTCTGTCCCAGCCTGTACTTCCTGTAGGAAGCAAGGAACTTACTGGCATAGCAAAGAGGGGTCATTGGATAAAACATTATTAGGACGAGATGAACAAGACATTAGCAAGAACGGGAGGGATGAGAAATATAGTCTGAGATCCTGAATGAAAGAGGCATACGACGTAAACTAGATGTAGGCGGACGGACAATATTAGAAAGTGCATGTCTTTACCACTTGCTCGAAGAAGTTTTGTGTAAAACGGTGAGGATATCTGGCGGCTGGGCCGGCGGTACGTCACGGTCTTTCCACTATGCGTCATCACAGCCTCGGTCGTGGCGTTCCTAGTCCTTGCGGCACAGCCAACAAATATCCTGATCGTATCGCGTTGTATGTGAGGTAATGTTTATAGCCCTGTGAGATGATGCACCATTGGCTTTTACCAGGATCTGGATCCGGGGATGGTTTTCACTGTCCGCCCTTCTCGGAATAACGTGGCTGTTTGGACTTGCCTACATGGAATTCAACCACAGTTTTGTCTACGTTTTCGTCGTGCTCAACGGCTGTCAGGTGAGAGACATTCGGCTCACTGAACCACACCAGTTCTGGCTCAACGTTTATATGTAACATAAAAAGATGATTATGAAGACTGGGTAATGTACGATATTGTAACTTAACTGCAACCTCACCAATGTCGCGTACTCGTCATAAACTATGTTACTATTATACGGGTCGTGGGAGTTTGACATTTGATTACGGGTGGGGAAATGTAACTGCACACTACTTCGTTATGTTGTGTTATGTTTTTGTTATTAAACTGCCGTTCGAAATGGTTAATACGCTCGTATTTGAGAACATAAAATTTGCACATGCGTAAAACCCAAACTCACTTTACTATCAGTTACAATTCATTTACAAATTTGACTCTTCAACTTTCTTTTAGAATGAACTTAAATGTGAGAGTCTCACAGTTGCACTAAAAATGTATATAACCACATAAATCAAAATTATATTCACAGAAACTTTAACAACGGATTAAATTGTGAAATGTTTAACACAATTCAATTCAGAATATCTCTCTCTGGCTGCAATTTAAAAAAACAACAACACGAAAAATAAAATTTAAACTGAAATGTAAGAACCTGCTCTTTTAATTACTGTTCTACGTGGGAATGTGTGTAATATTTGTAATTTCTTTAGAACATTCCTGTATGCTAGTTGATTGACATGAACCGTTTTTCTTGTAAATAATCCTGTCAGCCATTACAGTCACTACTCAGGGTTGAAAATGTATGAACAAATAACATAAATGACGATGCGGTTCTTGGTCCTTTGCCCTGTGGGAAGAAATCTGGTTGAGAATGTTCGAGAACGGGTGCTTGGGAAATGTACAGACCCAAGACAGGAAGTGACAATATAACTGAGACAAATTCCAAGTTCGTCTTTGCCATATGATATTAGAGTGGTCATCTGATTGCTTTTGTGGAAACGGTTGTGAAAAGTCATCAGGGTTCTACGAAAGGCGGGAAATGTCTTGACGAACAAGTGAAGAAATCAGTCCCCCATTTAAGAGAATGCAGCAGTGGGGGTGTGTCCCCAGCAGGTAACAGCCTGACTTCTAACAATACTTTCACGTGTGTGTGGACAGGGCCTGTTCATCTTCCTGTTCCGCTGCGTTCTGAGCCACCAGGTGCGTGTCTCTGTCACGACCAGAGTCAAGAGGGACGGCTTCCTGGAGCTGCTGCGAGGACTTGCTGTAAGCTCTTGTCGGAGACGGACGTAGGATTCTCAGACCAGGGGTGACCAACCGTTTAGGGCCACACAGTTTCGCCCGTCGCATCGTTATAAACTATAACAACGCACGGGCGTGTTGTAAAAAAAGTTTCTTTCACAGAGACAAAACACTGGATGTTTCTGGCTCGACGACGAACGGGGTTCGACTCCCTGGTCGGACTGTCTTCTCTGTTGTCTAGAACCTCAGCTTTCTCTCCAACAGGTACCGCAGTTCTTTCCTCAGGGTTAAAGCGTACCGGGGCGTGGAGCGAAACATTCACATGCATACGGTGACGATGTTGAAAATGTGTGGCGCTAGACCTGCAACCCCCCGCCCCCCGCTTTAGACGATTCCATACGTCATCAGACCTGCCTAATTATGTATAAGACTCCTGAAGACAATTACATGCATCTACAATATTCTACTGGCAAGTGTCTGTCAGCCGCGTGTCCAAAATGTTGAGAGTATCGAATTTCGACTTCTGATTACATTCGAAAATCTTGCCATTGTGTGTGTGTCCAGGAATAAGTCACCAAAAGAGTGTGTCACGCAGCGAATATACGATAAATGCATACGGATTGTAGGCTGTAAAACTAGCACATACTACTTGGGAAACCAAGGGTACCGGTAGATGGACGGATAATATTAAAACATGTTTTACGGAAGCAGGGTCTGGATTTATCTGACTCAGAGCAGGTTCCAGCTCCTGAGCCTTGCGAACGGGACACAGGAATTATTATTCCATAAATGACGCGACATTTATTATTCCAGCCAAGAAGCTAAAAGTCCCCGATTACTGTTAAGTATTTACGCATTTACGTAAACTTTTAAAACATTACAAATTAAACGCATCTGCGTATAAATGCCTCGTACAATTAAATGCATAACAGAATTTTCAGGCGAATTATGAGGTGTAAATAAACAGGCCTACAAGTGGTCAATATCGAACAGAACTTTGACGTTTCGGAGACTGTTTGTCTTCCCATCATCAGCGACTAACGCAATGAGTGGCACAAGGCAGTGTAATTATGTTCACACACGGAGCCCAGTTAAGGAAACACAAACACGTTTCAGGGATTTAAATATTGAAGCACCAGCCACCTTTATGGACAAACTGCCAGAAGTGCCTTGACTTGGCGCATGAATTTTCATCAGAACTGTCTTTAGCAAGACCGGAATCACATCTCCGTGCCTGGAGTAGGGGACCCCATAACCAGACATTTTCTAAACCCGAAAACTCGTAGTGTATTTTCTAATTTGTGTTTGAACGTATTGTTTCCTGCTTGCCGTGTGTATCAAATGGTTCATCATGCAACTTCGTGTCCTTGCAGATGCGATGTTCGCCCAGGCCCTCGGATAGCACCCGCACGACAGCCACGGAACACACGGACTGGGTTCACGATGACCGGAGCAATCGCCCTCTGTGGTTTGTGCTGACCCAGGGCGATAAGGCGGCCTTCAATTGGGGTACGTTCCTTGCGACTGTCGATGAAGACGCGACTTTATCTTTGGATCTCGTTACGTGACCTCATGAGTGGGCTAATGCTGCTCTCTGTGTAATTAACGACGCTAATTTAACGTGGAAGTTATACTACGTTAAATGGAATAGGACGGCGATGACGATGTATAATTTAAGTAAGAAAACAGTCGAAAGGAAGTCATCCTGCCTACTTCAAAGTATTTTCTGTCTCGGGCACTTAAAATTACGGAGCAAAGTTGCTCCGTTAAGTCATATTATGGAGCGGTGTTAGAGCTCAACGTTCAAGGTGCAGATAAGTAGCTAGATTCACGCCCCATCCGCTTTATCCCCAGGGGAAGAGGCTATATTAACCGCTGGATACGAAAATGGATCGATCACAGAGCTAAAATGAATGCAGTGGGAGTCTTAAATTTCAGCCCTCGGTCTTCTTGGGGGTCCAAAGCTGATGGAGGGTGGAAATGACGCTTAGAGGCGACACTCCATGAAAGAGCACATTGCTTTCTTGACCGCAGTAAAGTTTATTTGAACCGTCTGTTAATAAAACTTATCTGCTCTGCTGGAAAACACTAAGAATTAAATTTGTGTATTGTTCAGGTGATTTTTATTTTGCAGGAAATGTCTAGCGTTTATACAGAATATTTATTAACTTTCTGTTGTAAACCAGCAGGTTTATAAACTATTCTTCCTTGTGTCACTTGTCGGCATGGCTTCAACATAACTTTTCTGCCGTCAATAATGTAGGAATATAGTCACAAAGATGGATAGCCGAATGCACGGTTTTGTCAGGGTAATGTGACATAAGTCGGCTGTAGAAATCTGAGGATGAACAAGAGAGTCCTTTGCTATGATATGGATAATCGGCTGAGATTAATAATACGTAAAATTCCTTCTAGGTTACACATTTAAAAATAACTGTCTCTGGCTAACAATAGCAAGCAATAGTGAACGAGACGTGTTTTCAGAATCAAGTATCCGTGGCAGCCCGGATCATACGGCCGTTGATAAGTCTAACTGCGACCAGACCGGAAGCCCCTGCGCAGAATCCGGCAAGATGAACCGGGAAAGCTATGAAGGGAGTGGAAATTTGGGTCAGCGGGACATTTGCCCGGCAGTTTCCGGCTGTCAAAACTGGTCTCAGAGGTCCGTGTCAGCAAGCAGATGCTCCACAATTGACGAGGAGCCCGACCCTGACTGCTAGGAGCCCGACTCGTCGTGACGCCATTTGCAACTCCAGGACAACATTACGTAGCCTGTAGAAATATCAGAGTTCTTGCTGTGTTATAAAATGCTACTTACGTGTAACCTAAACAGCAAGACTACTATAGAGCGTTTGTATTTGTGTCAGAGTGATTTATCTGCACGTAAAGGCATCGTCACACAGACTCATTTTGTCTCTTTTAATTTAACAAACTTTAAAATACCGGAAACTTACTTATCCATAAACATTTCTGTACAACATTTTGGATCCCTACCCTGCGTCATGTATTTGTGCCGTTCAATTAACTTATTTCGATCGTATCAGGCGAATACTGAAACTGTGGAAAAAGGAACTAAGGATTTGGCCAGGTTTCACGATTCTTCACGGGTCAAGAGTTGGCCTGTGTTGTTTCAACAAAGTCTCTTTTCCTCTTTGTTCTAAACTAATACACTTAAGCTACTTAGCACTGTGTTTATAATTTACTTACACGTCAGACAAAGTTCCTTTCATACTGTAAGAATTTTCCTCGGAATCTTATGATAAGATATGCATTTCTTCGAAGAAAAATTTTTTATAAAGAAATACGTGAGTGCAGTGTGAATTGCGTTTTGTAAAAAACAAAACTTACAATAAAGGATCTTTAAGAAAAGTAATGTTTCTCCTCTGATTTGCAGTCACTTTTAACATTAGATTGCGAGTCACAAAGCGACAGAACGCTCATAATTTAGTTATGATTTTGGTCACTGGTAATCATTTTTACCATTCTATTCGTATTTTCTAAGTAAACGGAAGTTCGCCCATATTTGTCTATTTTAAATACGTAATTCAAAACTGGAAGCTATAAATGAGAAAAATCTTACTTTATTTCAGACAAAGTTCGTACCACTCAGAATCACGGCTCATATAAACGATACCGTTCCCTCTTCACGTGCACCCAGACTTGGCTGGGTTCACTCTTATTTCCGTGACGATTAAATTTTGTAGCACGTTAACATGGACCATTCACTGAGTAAATGGACGAAAGAAACAGAAAATCGATCTGTCAACAGGTTTTTGTGGTCGGACGACAAAAAACTATTTCAATTTTATGAATTTTAAATATGGTGACAGTGGTATGACCCAGAGAAAGGTGGAATTACGAAAGTTTAAAGGTGGAACATGTTCGTTGAGGTTAAGCACGACGATCAGCGTATCCGGAACAACAGAACAATTTTATGAATGACGTGACAGAAGCTTTGAAATAATGGCTTTAAGACCGACCTAAGTATTTTATTTATCGCAGTCTGGAAGCCCGTCGAAAACTGGAAGTAGCCACCTGTCGTATCTGAGTTTAAGACAGGCTATCGCGATTTAATACTACTTTTTCCAAAGTTTCTAAAAGTACTTATTGTACGTATCTGAGTTACACCTAATCTGCATGGTTTCTTAAATTAAAATACTCTGTAATTAATTTAGTTTCCGACTTAAACGATCTTCTACCTTGTGTCTGATTACGATGGCAGTTTTATTTTCTTTGTATTTAATCTTTCGTTAAAGTTCGTCACAGTCTCTAGCGCTCAACGAGTCTCGACTATCTCCACTTTAAGTTAAGTGGTTCCATAATTACTTATCAGCAAGATTTTCTTCAATACAATAATTTTATTCACCGTCTTTACACAAGCTTATAGATTGTTAAAATCACATAAAATTATAACATTTCAACATTTGATATTGTTACATTTTAAAATGACGACATGTTTCGATGTTCACTCCATCATCGTCAGGTCTATCAATCAAAATTAAAAACTGTTGCATCTGCTGC